TAGAGTAATTATTTCTACTGTCATACTAGACCAGACGAGTCACCGTTCTGACGGCTTTGGCTGAGCATGAGGTTGCTCGTAGTTGTGATCAGCATGGTGAACACGTCCGCATTGGTCGTAACGCGCTTCCTAATCATCTCGACGACGCTCCTCCGTTGCCACTGACTGGAAATGAACTTAATAACTAACATCAACAATAAAAGTTCCCTTTAAATGAAACTCGGTGTGTTATAATTGAATTGAATTATTAGCATTTGATGTGAATGTTATTATTATTATTATTATTATTATTATTATTATGGTGAAAATGTAGTTGGGGGGTGCCAGCGCCCTTCCGTCTAGTTGCTCTGCGTCTCTGACCTAGGCGGCGGAGTACCCAGAGCGCGGATATGGCCTCTCAATAGTGATAGGAAACCTATTCTTTAGCAAGGGGAGGGATTCCGGGGTGGGTGTAAAGTAAACGTTGTGCAAAAAGTTGAAATGTTTCAGAATAGCTCTTCAATAACAACTTTACTCGACGGGTGCGGTGCGTTAACGGTGCGCAAACTACTTAGCGCAGTCACACTCCTCAAGTTGAACCCATTCCACTCTTTTCTACTTTATCACAGCCTTCTCTTGTCCTTGCACTACGTTTACTTCTCACCCACCCCGGAGCTCCTCCCCTTGTTGAAAAATAGATTCCCTATCACTACTAAAAGAGGCCATATCTGCGCTCCAGTGCGGTCACTGGGTACCCTGCCGCCTGGGTCAGAGACGCAGAGCAACGAGACGGAAAGGCGCTGGCACCCCCCAACTACATTTTCACCATTATTATTATTATTATTAGTTCATTTGATGATCATATTGTTAAGCTCACTATTATCTACGGAGCCACAAACACAACCAAAAAAAGCGATTCTCTGTTAAAGTTACTGGAACACCTTCAGGCTCGAACTGCATGCGTTTCGGGGTTGTTCACTAAAAGTTGAGTGGCGAGAAGTTGTGAATAATCTAGAATGTACTCACGAACTCAAAACATTAGTTACTCCAGAATTTGTTGAAGCCATCGGACAAATAATGAAAGAGGATATGAATTGAAGGGTTTCCTTACATGCCATTGTACTTGTCCATAGAAATGAAATGCTGTTCCCACAAATGAGATTCAGAAAGTGAACTAAAGCGAGAGAGAGTGAGCTATCAAACTATGTTACCACCCAAATGATAAGCTCACTACATCATCCAATCAAATAGTAGGCAAAAGTAGAAGGAGAAATCACTGTAGCTTTGGTTTTGGCTGTACTTTTTGACAGATGGAAGTGAAATGGGACAGTGGACACGATTGATATCAGTGTGAGTTAATAAAATAGGAGTTGGCAAGATGAAAAACGTCATGAACAGAGCGCTTCAACATGGTATGTACGCCAAAAACAACGTATGCCAACGAATCGATTCGTTTCGAACCAGTGCAAAACGATTGACAAGGGGGTCATCTGAGTCGATCATAGAAGAACCTGCCCATTTCTGAGCCAGCAACAGCTTGAGAATTCACTTCATCGCACTGGTATGACCAAAATAATGCTTTGTACTAATGTTCCGAATCAATAAGAACTATCCACCCTACAAAAATAAGATCTCCACAACAGATCAGCTCGGTCGGTGCCGTAGTTTAGTGCTTTGTAAAAGTCGCGACAACATACATTTTTGTCCAATGTTTGCTCCAGTCTGGGATCATAGGTCCAAGATCATACCAATAAATTTCAAAATTCACCTTTACAAGAGTTTTGAAAAATATGCAGTTTAAGCAGCTGGATGGCAGTTTCCTCAACCTAGTGAACAAACTGCGGGCCAAAAATGTTAACAACCCTGGGTGTGCGCCGCGCCGCTACAATATCCGTTTCTCAAGCCAGAAGTATCGTATATTTTGAATGTATCGCCTATAGAAAACCAATCGGAAGGGTCAGTAGGCCTACTAACAATTTTTTTCGCACTTCAAACAAACGACTAAACCAGAAAGCCTCTCAAGAAAGCAGTGCTGACGTCAGCCAATATCCACTCTAGCACATGCGGCTTAGATTGCCCCAAGCCCAACAGATAAGAAAACCGTCCACTTCATCGAATTGACGCCACTGCGTTCCTGAATGGAAGCGGGCACATGCCTCAGACCGGGTGATTATTGCACCAATACTTTACGCTTTGAGAACCTGGGCTGCTGATGGTATGATCCAGCGTGAGACTTTTATGCGTGGAAATTCTAGGGTGGCTTTCTCAAAGAATCAAAAACGGAGCTTCTATTTAAACAGATGCAGCACAATTCCTTGTGGAGAAAAGTCATTAAAAATCAAAGGCTGTTTCAAGTAAAACTCACATCCAATCCATCAGGGAAGGCCCTCCACCAGTGCTCGTCAGTGCAACGCTAACTGCTCATTTCCGCATGACAACTTTGCACGTCCATTTCTTAGTAATCTGGCTTCGAGATCAGTATGAGCTGTATTGTACAAGATAGCATTTCAAACATCCGAATTTCCGCCAGTAAGAGCGTACCTGAAATGAAAGCGAACTTATGCGGACAATTGTATCAATCTTCAAACTAGTAATAACTTCGAGACTGAAATAGAGAGACTAAACGTCAGACTATGGAAACCAACACAAAGCATAGCAGAAGCTTATTTACGACTTGAGAAATTTGAAGAAAAACTCATGGCCGAAAAATATTGGCAGAATGAGTAGCTGAGAAAAATGAGCTTCTAGACTGGATTATTCTAAACATGAGTACAGTGAGGTCAAAGCTGTATTAAATATCACAAAAATATAGCTTACGGAACGGTGAGCAAAGGGAAGTTCTGTCGTTCGGTGGTGCTAACCCGGTGGACCCGAGCAGTCCAAAGTCCACATTTCGGTATTGAGTTATTGGGATCAAACCACGACGTAACGATGCCAATTAGGGTAGAACTTTCATGCTTCCCAACTAGTACAGCTCAAGAACTGTCTCTATCAAGTATATATTACCGGAAAACACTGATTTGTACAGGTGGCGCGATTCTGGATAGCACTGTCATCAATTTGACGATGTGAGAACAACGACGTTGGATGGCACGATCAGGTGGGTCAGTACCGTATGAGGTCGAGAAAAGGCGGGAACCCCACAACGGTCGCCATCCATATAAAGATCGATTTTTTCGAAACTCGTTTTAGCCAAACCTTCAGCCGATCCCAGAAGTAATCGGTGGTTTGGGAAACCTTCGTAGATGGATCTTTTGACCCAGATCTCACCTTCTCAAGGAATCACACATAAGCAAACATAGTAGCATTAGGTAAAGAAACTCCAGGATTCGATATAAGTTCTGGCCAAGCACGTACGATTGTTTTCCGAACCAGAATTGTCTGAACTTTCCATTACATTACCCATAGATAAACTAAAACGGCACGGACAAGAACCAAAGGAATTTTCATTTCCTTGGCCTTATTATAACATTGAACGATATGCTATTTAGATACAAAGAAGCTTCTATTCAGGAAGGCATCCTAAGTAAGATGAGCCCGCACCTCGTAATAAAACGTGATTAGCCTAGTAAGGAGTAGGGACAATAACCTTACATTTTCTTAAAATCACTAACAATCCAGGAGTATGTTTGTCACTTATTCCACCATTCTGCAAGGCTTTGGTAAAAATCCTGATGGCATAGAGTTCATTATAGGCCTAGGGCGGCTGCGATACGAAGAATTTACAAGTGGCAGTGGTGCTAGACGCTAGACCTTGGCTTACTCCCCCTGCTTATATCAGAGCAACACAATCGTGACCCGAGGTTAGGTCCTAGGCCCTCTGACAGGCTAAGGTAAAAAAGCTATAACTTACCCACCCCTTCAGTTTCCTGAATCTCTCGAACAACGATATTCTATCAGAATCTGCTTCCAACAAGGATCAGCTGCCACCTGCACTTCAAGACATAGCGGTACCTATCACCTAGTTCTGCAGTACCCAACCTATGAGCTCCCAACCTTTCAGGACCACTTGCGTGCAGTTCTCTGTCGATGACATTCTCCAAGGCATTGGTTCCATCGTCACATGAGAATCGATTTCCTATTCTTCATAATAACAAGCAAATGCTTCTCGACGTAAGCCCCCTCTCCGCTTCAGAGAAAGCTTACAAAAAATAGTGAAAGACTCTACCACTAAGTAAAGGAAGCAAGTTGTAAAAAAGTTGATAAAAATATAAAAATTCGGAGTTATCAGTAAACGACCGGTAAGGCAAAGGAAACTCCAAGAATCTTTAGTGGGAAGGAAAAAACTCAGAAATTTGGACTTCAAAATACTTCCGAAAAAAAATCGTGACAATTCCATATCGACCAATACTTCCAATAGAATCCTACTTACTGTAAAGCGCTTCGTCTGTCGTCTGTCTGTATGTCTGTAACGAAACTTCTTAGCTTCTTTAGATCTGCCTGGAGAGACCGAGTCAAGCGTGGGATGGGCGGGTCATGTCTCGAGAAGTATAAAGCACACATCAGCTTAGCCGAGAGGTGTGCATTAGTAGGTTAAATCGAACTGGGAAGACCCACCTCCGATGGGCAGGGCGTTTTCCAAAATTGGAATGCTTCATGAGAACATTTTGGAAAATCATAACTCCTGTCCCCGTGGACCTAGAAAGTTCAAAGTTGTGAGGAGTATAGGCGACGGGATGGGAACACTTATGGTGAGTGGCAGGACCAGACTCCGCCCACAGGTGGCGTGGTTTGAGCGAAAACTCATAAATCCGGTAAAGGTCTATAATGAAAATAAGCTCGTGCGGCTCCGTCCCTCATGGCTAGAGCCCTTAGCGCACGCGATAGCGTGCGTGGCCGCCTGGTGGATCGATAAGCGGTATCGAAACAGTATGGACTGCTTCACTAAAAGACTGAACACAGAACAGAGTTAAACCCTTTATAAACAAATAACTCATGCAAGAGCTAGACAATATATTCATCACGTTCAAATAAATAAAAGAAAGAAGACGAGAAACTGAATGACTGGTTTTTTGTTCTTATCATGAATGAGGAGGATAGGATTGTTGACCCCAAGTGTTCCATGTGGTTGCGTCTCGGGAAGCGTCTTGTTGCGGTCGCCAATCTTGAGTGGCGTAGTCCGCAGTACCGGGAGGGGCATAGGCAGGACCGGGTTCCGTGGACGGAGGAATCCACGACTCTTCGTCCCCGGTCAGAATGTGATGTGTAGCCACGACGAATTCAAATTGATCGTTGAATGGATTCAGGAACTTGTACGCCGATATACTGCACGGTCGATAGTCGTTTGCTGAGCGAATACGGCAGTTCAGCCGTATCGGTTGATCTCGTCTGTAATTACACGACACATTATTAGACGTCACGATTTTTTTTCGTTACAGCCTTTTCTTAATGCTTATTGGTCGAAATGAAGAAGCATAAGCAATATTCTATTGCTTCAGCTCTGCATCTATTCCCCAGAGACCGGCGCGATCGCGCAACGGCACAGTTACCACGGTTGACCGCTACGCAACCGCACGCGTCCCTGGCAGGCGAACCTATTGTCACGAAAAATGAGCTCTACACTTCAAAGGTTTGACTAATACGTAAAGTGCTGCTCACGTCATCATAGCCATGAAGGCTTCATGTAAAGATTGTTCGTCGGATGGATGCACCACTTGCCACCAGAATCGCCCAACAAGTTGGTCAGGAGTGAGGCCGAGCAGTTGTGACACTCGGGCATCAACGAATGTCATCTTGCCATCGTCGGCAATTCGCATCGAAATTCTCGTCAACTCGGCTGGATCACACAAGGGCATAGAGGCTACCTGTAAAATAGTTTAATCGAATTTCTACCGTACCCTGATCAATCGAATTACTATACTGAATAGATAATATCGTGTTGGTATTGATTCTAGAGGACAGAGGTATTGTCCCAGGCCAACAGAGCCTGCAGATCAGTCTGTTTGTGAGGATATAAAAATACAAAATTAAGAGACTGGGCACCTCTCCACGGCAAGTCAACGAATCATATATTTAGTTAAATACTGACTAACTCATAGGGAAAAACTAGTGCATGGCTTATGCCCAACAGCGGTTGTCCATTGTCAAGTGCTTCGCTCGTCATCACAATAGCGAATAATAAAACTCTAATTGAACTTCGACGATAATTGGGTAACCGTAGTGTACGGGGTTCATGCGACTTCAGCGCGCGCTCGCGGAGCGGTCATCCGAACTACCGCCCGCGAGTCTTACTCACTGTCATGCAGTCTGTGACAAGCAGATTATAAACATTACAGATCTGATTATTATATTATAAAATTTATTATTTAATTCACTACTCACCTGCAATCGAGCGATGGCCACTAGACAAGATGAAGGTGGTGCATCAATACCAATTGGTGGAGTATTCTTGATATATCCAGTACAATGCATAACGACATAATTATGCCCTTAAACAATTTCGATATCAACGATATCTAACTTAACACTTCATAATTCACATCTTTCAGTTGCACGTCAAGGACGCGCGCGGCCGCGGCGCGTTACGGCTATTCACAGCGGTGCGTGTTCGTAGAAAATAAAACTACCCACGCTTATAATGTCCGATTAACTTTCAAAAATGACCAGTCACCCTATTCTTTTATTTTTACCAATATTATCAAGCACCAACCTCCATGTTGGAAAAGTGGTCGTCGGTTTCGTAACCGATGAAGCGGTTCCAATGGACCAAGTCGCATTCGGCAAATGAAACCTCTTCGACAGGTCATATGAACACGGGATGCTGCACCTTCTCTCTTTACAGTACCTTAAAAAAGAATCGATAAGATCAATCCACATTAGAAAACTATCAGAAACCCAAAGAGGTCCTTCAGTAAACTAAAGACCCAAAGAGATCTTGACTTGAACACAACGAGATCAAGAAAGCATGAGAGTAGTCATAGTAGTTATGCTTCCAACTAAGTGTACGTCAACTGTCATATTTTATAACTCTTTACTTTCTCTCTACATACGGATAAGCCATGAATTACCTGTTTTCAAATCGAGTACTTTATTGATTGCCACTTCACTTCCGCAAAGTTGATCCCGGATTTTATCTTGATCGTCAGGATGTATTAACTCATTGATTGTATGATTCATCCAATCCTCCTGAAAGAAGGCCATTCATTTCTCCTATTATAGCTATACCTATTTTACTTGTTTCTACTTCATTTATTTGTCATGCTTATTTTATTTCTTGCTATTTTTTTAGCTGTTTGTCTGATTTCTTCAATTCATCTTCACTACCTCCGCTGAAAACCACTTTTAAACCACCTATTCATCCCTACTTACTTCAACTTATTTACTTTACTACTACTACTTATTTACTATTTACTTTATTAACTTGAATCAATGAATTTGTTCATTCGACTACTCCAAGTGTGAGCCGTAAAACAATGATATTTAGATAGCTCTGAACCTATCAGTGACAATAGTTTTCTCCACCATGCTATGTGGACAGTACAAAAAAACCTAATTTTTGATCCGTACCTGTTTTAAGTTCAACACCGGTGTTATTGAATCTGCTACGTAAAGTATTCGACCAGTATTACAACAAACAACGAATAAAAATCCATTGGCTGCTTCCAATATCAAATGTTTCAGTTCTTGATCCGATAGAAATGATGGCTTATAGCCGCTTTCGTCCTGAAAATGAACGCGAGAGATAGTTCTGAGGAAGTACTTTTCAAAAAAAANGGGTCATTTTGTTTCTCCGACGCCTTTCAATCTAAAAAACTCAATTATTCACTAGTTTCGTGCGGAAAATCAAAAATAAACCTATNCAATAGTTTTCTCCACCATGCTATGTGGACAGTACAAAAAAACCTAATTTTTGATCCGTACCTGTTTTAAGTTCAACACCGGTGTTATTGAATCTGCTACGTAAAGTATTCGACCAGTATTACAACAAACAACGAATAAAAATCCATTGGCTGCTTCCAATATCAAATGTTTCAGTTCTTGATCCGATAGAAATGATGGCTTATAGCCGCTTTCGTCCTGAAAATGAACGCGAGAGATAGTTCTGAGGAAGTACTTTTCAAAAAAAATGCTAAAAAAGAATGATAAGACAGATGTAGAAAATGAGCATATAAAAACATAGTGTGGAACGCTTTGTGTTGACAATTGGATTTTTTCCGAAGAAAATCCAGTTGTCAGAGCTATGCCTTCCCGGTCGTGTTTTTGATTGTTCCTTTTCCATATCTGTCCTATCATTCTTCGTCATTCCTTATCACCTTCCAGAGGTAGTATCCTACAATCTAATTCCTCATTTAAGCCATCTTTTAGTGTAGAGACATCAGTCCACTCTTTACGGTGCTTCTCTCCTTTTTAGAATTAGTCTGAAAACTCCTTTCCAAGGTTTAGAAGCGCTACTACAGGCCTACAGAGTCGACGTGTTATCCTTCTTTGACTCTAGCAATCGTTAGATATGCAGAACATAGTGAAGAGACCCTTCCAAATACATTTTCGCTTTTTCCGATAGGACGAGGAAGACGAGGGCTGCTATAGATATTCCTCCATGAACACGCCCACGAATGCAGGACGGAGCTAGTGAAAGTAGTAGACAAGTGGTTTTTTTCTCGCACTTTTTGTCATTCCCTCTGCGGTACTATTCATAACGATCCTATAAAAATCGCCACCAGTGTCCCCATCAAGAACCGATGAACAGGTCACCGTAGATGGTTAGAGACCGAGACTAAATTTTCGTGTTCTAACTTCTCACAAATAGTTAGCAGCTGGCACCGAACTTGATTGCTTTTAAACGGCACGTACCTGATTATTATGCCCTCGAATCGCTTTCATATGTGACACAGCCATTCGTAGAATCGTCAATTTATCCGGTTTTCGACCAAGAGCAGCACATTGGGGAACCATTTCGGCTAACTCGTTAATGTAGTGGGTCATTTTGTTTCTCCGACGCCTTTCAATCTAAAAACTCATACACTAAATTCGGGCGGAAAATCAAAAATAAACCTATAAAAAGAAGTAAAGCAGAAAGACAAAGAATGAGAGCTAAGTAAAAGTTTGTTACAACATAAAGCCCAAATAGCTGATGATTGATCTGAAGTATATTGAAGTATAACTTTAATGACTACTGGCGATGTATCCTTACATTCGAGAATCGCCCTCACTAACAAACCGAGTCAGAAACAAAGAAGCGACCTCTTTTGAGTGAAAGACCTCTCAGAGCTCAACCCAACAATGTGAACTGACCACAATGGGTTTCCCTTCTATGAATTACTCCTATCTACCTATGGGTTCACTGAATGAACGAACACAGATGCCTCTAAATTCGATGTTTCTATACAAGCGTCTACGACGATTGCCGCAGAAACAGATCGTTCCAAACTGGTTGAGCTAAGGGTGCTTTTATCATATTCCATTTCAACATCACCTCAGCTTTTATCAACTGTAATGAAAAAATAATTTTAATTGCAAGTTTGCAATAAAAATGTCAAAGTGCGAATTTAGTTGAGTAAATGATTTCGAAATTATGCTGCTGAATAAATAACCATCGCATACTGCAGAAAAATACTTGAAATACATAACAAATCCAAAAAAAAAATAAAATTATGTACATATTTATTGTCAAAAAACTATACGCCAGCACTGACACAGGTAACCGTTAAAAGATTACCTAAACATATGGGAACATGAAAATTTTTCTGAATTTAATAGAAAAAATTCTCGAAATTCTTAAAGAAACTGGGAGTAACTAATCATCAAGGAACCCCTGCTCCGTCTTCGAATAGTTTCGAAACGACGACTCCATTATCATTTCAGACGCTGTAAGTTTCAAAATTTTTCACAGGAAGAAAGTATTTAGAAAATTATTCAAACAGAAGAGAATCACTAATTCGATTTTTGAATTTCAAATGACAGCAACCTGAAGCAGTTCACAGCAGAGATGCAAATTTATATTTGAAGGAAAAGATTTGCGGCACAACATCTCCCTTACATACGTGAAATCATAGCTCAATCAATCTAACGTTACTAAATGGAGATCCAAAATCCCGATTAGCTTTGCAGTTTTTCCCCTTTTGAACTGTTTCTTTAGCCCTTAGAATTGGAATATTGCACCGATCGCCTGAAAGGGATTCCTCTGAACATCCGGCAGGGGCTATCTATGGGAAAGATGCTGACTTCAGGTTGGAAGGTAAGTTGGCCATCGTGTTGTATGTACTGCTTCGTGTTATTTCAGTTCAGTGATCAGTAATCATAAATAAGTTACTGAATGAAACTCCATAGCATAAACTTAACTGATTGCGTTACATACAATCCCACTTTTCAAACTACTACATCTTCCTAAACCCCATAGTAGATTGCTTATAATTTAGAAAGTTTTACAATGTTTAAAAAAATTTACTATTTTTACTTTATTTAAACTTACAGGTAGAACTAACCATGTGCATTGAAAAAATCGTCTTTTCATTAATAATACTTGAAAATAAACAAAATAAGTATGTAAAACTCTTCATTCGAATACGCAGAGCTGAACAGTCCTGAAGCCCCATACTTTCTAGCAACATTTGAGTTTCAGTTGTCCTCTATAAATGATCGAGCGAATAAACTACTCATTTTGTATCTCGTAGCATCTCAACTCATCAGTAGCCTTACACCTCCACTGAATCTCAAATGTGGGCGCGTAAAATCGATCCCTATCTTCAGACACATGCTACAGTCAGAGACAGAGGCACAGAGCGAGAACAGCTTTATTCGAACTAAATACTTTTTCAGGTTAAAGTAAGATACATAAAGACAGCCCACCTCGCTATGATTTTCACGAGCATATCGTTCCTTATTCTCATTCAATTCATCACCACCATCAAGCCGAGCGTATTTGCCAGCCGACATTCCCAGCTCGTCATCGTCCATGCTGAAACGAGGTTCATAGACAAGATTCTCAATCAATTCAAAAAAAAGCGGATAATCAAAGATAATTTAAGCCATTTTTGATAGCTGTCGTCGATCTTGAAAAATCCATTATTGAANTATCATCATAGACATTGTAGACAGAGCGCTACTCTTATAAAGAGGAAGCTTGGATTGTTAGGAATCAAATGATCNTCGTCATCGTCCATGCTGAAACGAGCTTCATAGACAAGATTCACAAGCAATTCAAAAAAAGCGGATAATCAAAGATAATTTAAGCCATTTTTGATAGCTGTCGTCGATCTTGAAAAATCCATTATTGAAAATTGTAAACATAGAGAAAACAAACATTATAAAGTGAATAAATAAATGAAAGGAAAATAATAGAATAGTGGCAGGAAGTAGGAAAATAACTTCTTTTGACTAGATGCACTTGTTAATTGCTATTATTTTATCGTAGTACGCCATCCGAAAGTCTCTTAAGGGGGGCAAAACTTCGGTCTCGGACAAGCTTCGAACCCGTACTTGTGCTTTACGGGCTCTTTATACCTTGGATGGTAATAATACACAAACAATCTGAATGATTATAAATAATACCACAGAAAAATAATATGAAGAATAATATGACACTTGTCGAATAATTATTCTTGAAAGAAGATATTGGTACCATACTGTTAAATATTTTTCGTATAGCTTCGTTTTTTACTCGCCAATATTATACGAAAGTTCGGAATTGCTTCTCTTTTATTTTCAACTATTTTCCCTATTTATTTTTATTTTTCTTTATTTTCAGTCTTCATTATTTTTTATTTATTCATTCATGCGATTTTGACATTCAATAAAGCCCGTTTTTTCCAGTTGAAAAAAATCGCATTCCTCAAAACTGTATGTCTCAAAATTATGAAATTAAATAAGAAAGTCCAAATGGATAGGAATGGAAAAAACAGCATGGCATATTCCGGATCAAACAACATTTATTCCATATGGATGGGTTAAATGTAGTTTCATCCAGAATACGCCATGCTTTTCAATTCCATTCAGAACTGTCGTACAGTCAGTAAACTTATCCTCTCAGACGAGCCTCATACCATCAGGCTAATCGTGATTCAATGAAAAATTTGAATTTTATAAATGGGATCAATCCAGGGATAGGATTAAGAGCGATGCAGGGTCTCTATATACAACAATTGCTTTTCTCTGGAACTCTGATGATCAAAATGCCCGTGTCAAAATGGGAGGGCAATTGCTATCACGTGCCTTTGTTAACTGTTCTAAATTCCACCGGCCCAAGGTCGGAGTAATCCCGTTCTGAAAGGCTACAACCGAAGCCGAATGCACACTTCTTTTTGTGGAAATCGTTCCTCGACCCCCAATGAAGACTTAAGAGGTGAAAAGTATCAGCTGTGGAACGTGTGAGACGCCGGCGTCGTTTCGTAACTTGAGCAAACATTACGGGGCCAGTATGGAGGCCAGTCGGACGAGGGGGTACCTGGCAGGTCGATGTGGAGTCGTCCCCCAATGATGACATTGATCCTCTCTCACGTACTCGAGGAGACGGGGTACTTTGTGTTGGGTCGTATACATTTACTTACCACACAATACGACTTGACCATCACATAACAATATCCACTCAACAACAAAGCCCACCAATGCTAATAAACTATGATCATAGAAATTGTAGACAGAGCGCTACTCTAATAAAGAGGAAGCTTGGATTGTTAGGAATCAAATGATCGATCGATCACTAGACAATGCGCCATGCATCTAAATTTTGTCCAAAGTCACGAACGCATGTAAAGGGTATAATTCCATTTTTCAGAGTAGTAAATGGTCACTGAAGCTACCCAAGACAGCTGATTTCTACCATTCCTACCATCTTTCGCTTGGCTGACCTAGGAAGTCAAAGAAGTTTCCAAAGAAGCCGAATTTTCAAAACACCAGCGGCGGAAGGAATTCAACCTAGTGCATAGTTGTTGTCAAAAAACTCTCTTAAGAGTACTAAATTACTATTTAAGAAAAAAGCGAAACATGAGACCAAATTCACAGAGCTTTGTATCAGCCAATTTTGGGTAACGCCAGATTCTATGCTGTTTTCGTTTGAAGGTTCTAAAAGTACCCACTCATTCACTACTTTACCAAGCCCTAACAGCACAGCTCAACATGAAACTCCCATTTAGAATAAGCAGGTCGTTAACAACACACACACAAACGGTTTCCAAAAAAAAATCTTGGTAAAAATAAGAAGCGGAAAAAGCACCAGATCGGTTGGCATGAATAGATCGTTGGCCCGATATCGATCGATCTCTTCTCCGATTCTAGTTTTGCCCTTCGTTTTCATATGATTTTTTCTATTTTTTGCCTTTTTTCATTCGAAATAACAATTTAGAAAAGTATCTTACATAAATCAATAAACACATTGAATTACGCTATTAGCTCAACGTTAAGCAGCTGATCAGGATGACTTTTCATGATCAGATCATGAGAGATAATCAAAAAATTTGGGAAATAAAAAGTAAATTGTGAAGTAGGCGATTTCTCGGAGCTGATTCAGAAAAACAATCGATAGAATTGAAAAAGTACCAGAGAGTATGTTTTGATGTGAATGTCAGCCACTTTGATTGATAGATTGCTGTTATTTAGGTACAGTCATGGAGGCATTACATAAAATGTTTATGCGCAGCGGACTAGTTGAATTTCTATAATGACAGCAGAGTTTGACCTATCACAAAACATCGAATGTTGGTCCCCTCTATAACCCTAGAGAATGCGCCGTGCGCTGAGCAGTCATATAGATTCAAAAGGACATCCGGGGATTCTGAGCTTTCCGCTTACAATAAGATTTACTGACACATTGATGAGAAAGAAGGCTCGGGCCCTCATCAGTTCACAAACAGTGTGAAACATGCTGGTAATGAGTAGTAACCTTACCATAGTATCGCCTTTACAAACTTATTGTCCATACTTAATCTAAACATAAAAACAAACAAACAATACCACAACAACAACACAAACATAAACCTATTAGTATTGGGACTTATTAATATGAAGAAGGAAAAACTTAGAATAGCGTGATCGTGCAGTTCACAAGGAGGAATCCGGTTCAGACCCGTAGGTCAGCCAAAAGAACGAAAGCACTTTTCATTTGACCAGTAAAATGGGCTATTTGCTCTGGGAAGGCCCCCATAAAAAATAATCGATGGTGTTGGAAAAAATTCTAACGGGTACGTTTTTATGTGAACGTCAGCCACTTTAAACGATAAATGAGAGATGA